TAGCGTGTAAACGTGAGTTTTTCAAATTTTTGTTCAATTTCAAGTTTCGCAAAACAAGCGATTATTAGCAGGTTTTGTAGTATTTTTTAAGCTCTATCTTGTGGCCGACTTGATTTTTCGAAAATCGTTTTTGTGCGCTCTCTACGAACATTCTAAACTGGTCTTACACTTTGAGTGTAAAAAAACTTTGAACCTGAAGGGACACTCAGAAGTAAACAAATTCAAAAGTGAATGACAAAATCAGATAGAGAATTGAAAGCTCTACAAACCGTACTATTTACTTTTTTGATATCATTCTTTCTTTCCTTTAGAAAATCTATTTTTCGGTCGAGAACTCATCGAAAAAGCGGTATTTCTCACTTTTGACCCACGTAACTCAGTTAGCTGACGTCATATTGTTACGAAATTTTTATGGTTGTGTAGCTAGGATCTGAGATAGAGAATAAAAAAACTTTGAAAATTCATTCACAACAACGGTGTTAGCAGCAAAAATACTTCAAAAATGTCATTGTGCAAAGAAGTTGCAATTGACTCGTATAATTTTACAGATCAATTTAAGATGAATGTTTTAAAAAGAAATAGATCATGACAGTGAGTGTAGGGATGCAGCGGTAACGGCAACCGCACCTTACCGGTTACTGTTACCGGTCCAACCGGTTCTTACAGGTAACCGTTAAACCGGTTAGACCGGTAACGGTTGACCGGTTGTCAACCGTTACCGTTGCATCCCTAAGTGAGTGTAAATACACTGTGTAACTTCGAACTAATCTAAAAGAGTTCAATTTACTCAAGTACGACTCTCTCCCTGTGTTTTTCAGGAAGTTTCAAACACATAATCATTCAGAGATATTCATTTCACTCAGCTGTAACGTCCTAAGCGGGTTCACGGTCACCAAGTACATCCACACGGTCGTTACAGATCAACAACTTTTTAACCGTAGCAAAATACGTCTTTTATGACCTTACAATGCTTCTTGTTCATTCATTGAAACCATCGTGTAAACAATGATATCAAAGAAAAAAGCGTATTTTGCCATTGAGCTTGAAATTGTCAAGAGCAGTAACTAATTGCAGATTAGATGTATCTTTAGAATCAATTATATAGAAAGGATAATTGGCAAGTTTAAGGACTACCCGCTAATAGTGTTGCTATTTAGTGGCGGAACCAGGAATTTTCGGGTGAGTGGGCTGAGCCGTGACTTTTTCAAAACAAATTCGAGTCAGTGTAAGTTCAAGTTTTTCGACTGCTGCAAAAGTAGTGTCTATTTTTTTCTTCGCTTCACTCCTAAATGATGCTGTTCTTTCATAATTCTTCAGGGGATCTCTAGGAAACTCTTTTTACTTTCACTTTACTTTCACTATTTTTGAATGTTAAACTTTAGTACTGGACTTTTTCGACCTTCTAAAAGTCAAAAACAATCAAAATAAGAAATTCTAGCACAAGCGATGATATTGGCTGTTGTACGAAGATAGCCGCCTTCATGTACGCAACTGCTATAGGTCACATTGATCTTGCTTCTCGTCTCACGCAGGCAGACGATATATATAGCAGAGTAAACACACACAGGTGCATGAACGATTTTAATAACAGTGGCTCAGTCGGCAGCCGAAAAACTGAAACTTTCCGACGTCCTCTGCCAACATCACCGAATTTTTTTCGACAACCAGACACAATACAAGATACCATATTACATTACTCAGAATATTTGCAGTACAAGTTAGAAGCGAGTGATTTTGATTTGTACGAAGAAGAAGAAAATGACTATCTGAACGTGTGTCTATAAAAGGAGAGTGACAGACAGACACCAGATGATCATTTCTCTCTCTCTCCCTCTCTAACTTTTCTCTCTCGTTCATGCACCTGTGTGTGTTTACTCTGCTATATATATATCGTCTGCCTGCGTGAGACGAGAAGCAAGATCAATGTGACCTATAGCAGTTGCGTACATGAAGGCGGCTATCGTCGTACAACAGCCAATATCATCGCTTGTGCTAGAATTTCTTATTTCGCTTGTTTTTGACTTTTAGAAGGTCGAAAAAGTCCAGCACTAAAACTTAACATTCAAAAATAGTGAAAGTAAAGTTTTTTCCCCCTATCCAGAGTTTAGTTCCTTCCCCAGAGTTTTCTAGAGATCCCCTGAAGAGTCATGCTCATCTGGTATTGGAATCTTACCAGACCCCTACGTTTATTCAGTTTTTAATTCTCTATCCAACCACGTGTGAATCAAGTTATATCTCTTTCATGAACTGAGCTATTTTTATTTTAAAAAACGTTGAATTTTTGAAATTTTAAATTAAAATCAAAAATTGAAATTCTTAGTTAGAAACTTGATTTTTTTCCAAAATGTTCGCCTTTCGACGCTGAATCGAAATATGTTATTCAAGGTGTTCCATGTCTTAACAGTGATTTTCAGAAACCCATCTTTAGAAAACCTCATAATTTTTTCAAGGAAGATCGTAGAGGGCGGGAAATGATCTCATTTTGTAGCCCAGATTTTCCTCTACGTTGGACTGTGTTCAGCTCAGAATGAGAGGGGCCCTTAAGCGTAACTCATCTGCAGCAACTAAGAAAGATCATTTTCTGGTGTTTGTATCACCAAATGTTCTACAAAGAAACTTGCAGTTATTTTTGGAACATGATTTAAATTAATATTTGAACGTGCCATCAGCTTAACTCGGATCAATGCATCGGAATTTTACTGAAAGCATGATTACCATGTATATTTAATTACGCTCACAATTATATGAACACAACTAAGAATGATCAGAAGAATGGCAACAATGCGCAAAGGAAGGGTTACAGTTGGGATTCGAAAATAAATCATCAAAAGTTCCGATGAATTGTCTGTGAACTGGGTTCAGATACAAATGACGAGACTGTCGAATAAATTAAAGAAACGAAACAACAGTAAACGAGGTGTGGGGTCAGATGCGAACCTATCCCATTAGTGGCTGCCGTTCATATCATAGAGAATCCTTTGTGGTAGGTGGTGATTCAACTTTTCATTCATTCATTATACGATGAGTTGAATTGTATAGATGTTTTTTAAAATATGAGTAATCTGATCCTATGATGCGTTTATCAATTTACCGATTTTGTTTTTAAAATATTGACATTTGAATCATTACTTCAACAAACGGTGGCGTGTTAAAACCTGAAACAAGAAAACAGAAAGGATGCACTGACAACAGCAGTTTCTTCCCATGTATTAGTAAGAGAAGAACTGGAAAAAAAGTATAAGCATTCAGAGGATAAAATATGTTTATACGAGAACGCAACAAACCAAGTTTTGTCTCATTGAAAGTGTTATTCGTGTGATATTATTTTATTCTTGCGAACGACATCAAGGTAAGTAGACAATTATTTATGTAAATCAGCGATTTAAAACTGCACATTCTGTCAGAAGTGAGTTAAATCACTCATTTTGTTGCGCTGCAACTAAAACAAATGTTTTTTTCACTCCAGTGATCTCATCTATCCAACTAGATACAATGTGCCACATTCTTTATTCGTCTCAGTAAAAGTGGTCTAATTTTCTAAGTCACTTTTGGTCTAGGAAATGGATGAAAAGTATAGTTGACTTTAGTATATTTAAATCACATAATTTTCTCTTTAGATTTATTATAATGTCAAATTCTTCTCTTCAAAGTTTAATGAAACAAATCGATTCAGTTGCTAAAGCAAATGACGAAATAATTAAACAAATTGATATAGCAAAGAATTCTAATAATCGATTAGATATTCTACAATATGTGATTTCACAACAACAAGACTATACAAAATTAATATTAACTGTTCAAGAAGTCAAACGTCAAAAATATGTTAAACAAGTTATTGATCAATGGCATCAGCCAATCGAATTAATTGCTATACAAGATATATTCAATGATAGATTAAATTATAGGTGTATACACTTCAATGATTTGGCTCAATTAAATAAGGCAATGTTTATTGTTGTTCAAAAATATAAATTATTTGGTGATACAGATGAATCAAAACAAGAAGTTGAAAAATTTTTATTTAATTTTCAATCAATACATGATAATGGTTTGAAACAAATACAAAAACAATTAGATGCACCCAAAAGTGATTTAGAAGACTTGAAAAAGAAAATCGACGATATTAACTATCAAATTGAAAATATGGCAAATTCAACTCAAAATATAACATTTCAATTAAAACAAGTTTAATGAAACTATTGTTCCAACTGTACAAAAATTCAGACCATTTTCTAATCAAGATCCTATACTCATATTTTTGAAAGTACAATAAAATTGAACTCTCTTCAAAGTTAGAAGGTCGTAAACACTACCATTAAAAGTTTTCGTGATTTTCTCTCTTCATTTTATTACAAAAGAACACACAAACAGTACATAAAGATGTACATAAAGTAGAGTGTCACGATTTTTCTAGTAGAACAAGCGGGTGATGCTATTGTCGACTGTGTTGACTCAACCGATGTACTTTTGAATTATTCTTTATGTAAACACAAGAGTTATCCGAAGCTTCCATTTCGTTCTGACAGCACTAATAAATACATCGCACTCACAGACTTGTACGATCCAATTGCTCAATATGCATAAGACGTCTTACGATATGTTTCTTAACTCTGGACCTTCAACCTGAGGCTGAATAATAATAACAAATAAACCTGTTGCTATCTTATACTACTACAACTTGTTTGTTGTTATAATACTACCCCTCATCCAAAACCTCGCTTTTCTCATCAATTTATCGAGAATATATGATAAACATCCATACAGGTTTCGTTTATTTTGTTCAATAAATAGTGCGTGAACAATCATGGAAAGAAAAATCACTGAAATCGCGTTTTCTTCCCTGTTGTACAAGTGTTTTCTGTTTCTTTTAGTACCAACTGACAGAGCGTGAAAAGTTCCATATTGGATAAAACATTGACGAGGTGGTTGAGTTTCTGTGTGGGTCATCTAGGGCGAATACCGTCAGAAAATACGATTTTCATCAGTTCTGGCCGATTTTCAGAAAGTTTAAGCATTCGTAATTAGTCTAATTTTATATTCGGATTCAGAATAAAATTCTACATCTGAATCACTATCTATTTTAGTTTTTCGATGCTTTCTCTGCTGGGGAACATCGAAATACCCTGGCGGAAAACAAGAAAATTGAGGTAAATTGAAGATTAGGCCTTATAAAACCATTTCAGACACTTTTAATACGGATATCCGTGATCAGCGTGGTCGATTACATATTATAATATAATATGTAATCGATCTGATATATCAAATCGAGTTGGAAAAATTCAAAAACGAAAAGTTCTTCAGAAATCCGGGAGGGGGCCTCAGGTCTCTGAAACCTGATAGAGAGATTTCGCGAAATTAAGTGTCTGGAAATGTTCCGTAGCATCCTCTGACATGGTTCCAATGCAGGAAAAACGAAACTTTTGGGGGCCAGAAAACGATCTTATCCGCCTTACTCCTGTCAGACTTGATATAATGTTTATTTTTTAAATGTAGAGAAAAACAATGAGATTTCCATTTTTCTTTTTTCGTATTGTCACTTCGAAAATACAAGAAAACGCTATAAACAAACTATCGTTAAAGAATGATGCACATATACATTATTCTTTTCTAGTTAGAAAGAAAAGCTGATTTTCGATGGTTGTGAAAACTGAAAAAAATTATCGCTTTTAGCGCATGTTGCGTTCAGTTTTGAACTTGACACAGCTTCAAATAACAAGACTTGTCTAAGCAAGCATCCTCTAAGCAGAAGTGCACCAGTTATAGAACTGATGTTTGAGCATCCGAGAAAACGTTTATTACTCGGTAATTAAGAGTTACACAGAGTTGTGGAACATCTCATTTTGTAGAGAAATGCTTGCTCTATAAAATTCACTGACTCAAAAAAATGTAAGATTAATTGTGTTAAAAGTACGTTCAGTTTAAAACTGTGGAACTGTTGGAATTATTCCCCCACAGTTCCTGTGTTTCTCAATACTCGTATTTTCAACACAGTTGATCTTGAAAGTTTTAGGACCAGTTAGTTTTGTAGAGAAAACATTTCTCTACAAAATCAAATGTTCAGCACCTCTGTGAGGTTCTCACTCATTGAGTACTAAACGTTTTTCCAGACACTTCGTTTCGCGAAATCTCTCGGTCAGGTTTTAGAGGCCTGAAGGTCCCTCGAGCCACATCGTCAAATTTTTACCCAATATGGAACTTTTCACGCTCTATCAACTGGTACTAAAACGAACAGAAAACACTTGTACAACAGGGAAGAAAAGGTGATTTTCAGCAGGTTTTCTGTGATATTTCCTAAATTTCACCACTAAAACAACATTTCAGACAAAAGCGAAGGTCATAGTGTGCAGTGATAGTAATGGAAAACAGATGAGATGTATGCAATGTACTTGATGTTTGCGCTGTTGTCTAAAACCGAAGAAAATATACATTAAAAAATAAAAAAATTCGATTATCAATACTAAACCGTCTCTCAGTGTTTCATAAGCCTTCGTTTCCAGAATTTGTTTTTTCAATAAATATTTGACTGTTTCCAAACTATTTTCAATCATAACTGCAGCATGTAACTGTCCTATAATACCTTTTTTACCATCATTGTTTTGTAAAACATAGAGTTGATTCAAGATTTCTTTATTTCTGTTCTTAATTGTCATGTCAGCAGGTGTGTTACCATTCTGATTTCGTTCGTCGAGCATATGCTTAAATGTTGTCTGTTGAAGTATTTTACCCAGTAAACGAATCATGTATGAATTTTTATTTTCGCAGCATATGTGCAAAACATTACTTCCAGTTTTTGTATATGCTTCAATACCATTTTTATTTGCTCTTAATACTTTAAAAATTTTAAGAAAACTAACCAAATTATTATGATAAACGACTGTCAATAATGGAGTAAAACCGTTGACATCCTCAGCTGTCAGCATGAACTGTGCTTCCCCAAATGTAAATGTCGGAGGATCTTTATTATCATGTCCCAGAATAAAACCAATCATACCAATACTATTGCATTGACAAGCGACATCCAGAGGCGTTTCACCATATTCATTTCATTTTACTTCGTTTTCCAGCGAGATTTAGTGTCACCTTTGCCAGAATCTTTTGCTTGCATTCTATCTCCAATCTCTGGTATGACATTTCCAGTTTGTTTGTTTTTCCTCCTTCTATCAAATTCTGGGTCAACTTCACTCTGCTTTGTATCAGTTAGACTGAGATCGTCATCTTGATGTTTGCTAAGAGGTTTAAAGACATATTCTTCGTAAATCCTTTTATAAATGTCTACATTTTCTGATTTAGCTGCATCATGAAGTGGATAAAATCTTTTTATCTGTAGAAATGTATGCCCATCCATTTCCTCTTTTGTCATGTAAGAGAGAAGCAGCTCAACAACCTCGTTCCATTCCGTTGATATTCGATGGCTACTGGTAATAAAATTTGATTATTAATATTTCGCATTTCGAGCTGATATATAGGATATACAGAACAAATGGAGCCTTGTTCCCCTAACACTAGTAGTACTGACCCCGATCTCCACAAATCGACAGGACAACAGCGTTCCTCGCTTACATTGTCCAGCCAGTTTATCGTTAACCACGCCACTTTATATATCATTCGATAGAGAATTTTACGGGCTACAAAATGATATGTATAATATTGAGAGAAAATGGGGCCTGAATGTCCTTATACTAGAAATACTACTGGAGAGGGATGCTTTCGGCATCGATGGATAGGCTAAGTCCATATAAAATCGTTTACCATCTACAGCGGCCGTTCACGTCAGTGACGAGACCTATCTCATATTCTAGAGCTCAGCAAGCTGAACCGAATGGTGAAAACTGCAAGTATCTAGCCTTGTTAGAAATGAAGCGATAGCCGTTTTACCGTCGCAGCAGAAAAATATATTTTCATCATTTTCCGGCGGATTTGGCCTAACTTGTACAGCGTCTGTTGACTACATTCCCAAACATGGAACCTTGAAGTTGATGTCAAATGAAAGAACGCATCGAGTTCTATATATTTCGACGGAGAAAAGTTATGCTACATGTCGCAGTCTTGAGATAGAGAGTTTTGAAAAACCCGGTTTTCTAGAAAACCTAGTGAACTTAAAGTTTCTTTCAGATGCCTTTCAACCATATCATTAGATAGCCCCTTCAATTCTTCATAACATAAGATGCCGGCTTGGTTTCTACGATCGCGGTCAACCGAGTCTCAGGCTTTTTAACATTATGAATGTAAATTCAGTTGCGTTAATGCTGTTTTGGAACTGGATCGTATATTCACCCCCACCCTCACTATCGATTTCACCATTATCAGGCCAGAGCTGACTACTGTAACGTTGACTGGCTGCTAGCTGAATAATAAAATAGATATAGTAGCAAATTTTCTACTGTATTGTCGATAGCTCTCACTTACCATCCATAGAGCAGACCATGATCCTTTTCCCGATGGTACTTTTGCACGAGTCTGACGAAAGAAACACGATTTTATTTAAGTGTAAAACGTTTTCTTCGATTCATTAATTCCTTTACCTGTAATCGTCCATAGAGAAATGCCTCTTTACTCTTTAGTTTTGCCGATGTAAACTGTCTTCTTTAGTGATCGGCTAAAGATTTATTGAAAAACCCATTCTTTATCTTCACTATTGTCATTCTGCCTTTCAAAGTTTTTTTTTTCACTACTCTTAAAAATAACAAGGCAAATGTAATTATGATTGTCTATTTTAAAGGCAAAAACTTAGATTGCAAGCTGAGATTTATTTGACGCGAAATAGATGGAAAGTGCACTGAACACGAAGTATTTTTCGGTTTTCGTCAACTCCACCATCCCGATTGAAATTATCTTCGAAAACACGTTACCAACCCATTTTAGTGGTATAATCTATAATTTTCTCTGAAATTCTGTGTATCTACATAAGAGAGGAAAATGTTTTTAAACGTAACTCTTCGATATAACTAGTAATAAGTAAGGATGGAGAATAAAGTTACGTGAAGATGGTGAAGATACTTTGAAAAGTTTACTTAATTTTATTCCAGAATATATAAGTAGATTGAAAAACAGCAACAAAATATCTCAATTATGAATGAAAAAGAAAGATTATGAATTCTTGGTCGTTGTTGTCTTCACAGTTAACCTCCAAATGTGACAATAAATTTTCCTTCTTGTGTTAAACCAATACATTTACTATCGTCTGTTGGAAACAAATAAGCATCAGGTGCTTGTGCATTCAAGGCTTGAATTGTTTTACTAAAGAAATACAAAAAGAGGAAATTTTAATCGTTCTCAAAAAACAAAGCACTCACCCATCCGGAGGTTCAACTTTCATCAGCACATTGAAATCATCAACACAGCTCAAATCGTAATAAATATTATCGTCATCTGTTTTCACCGATATATCAAACAGTGTAATACCATGTCCTTCGACACCAGGAGGAACATTGTACGAAGTTATGAATAAGTGAGATCGATAGAGCACAAAATTCTCTGCCTATCTACGCAGATACGTTAACTATTGAACCACAGACAATGGGCTAAAAATCTCAATAAAGGAGACGACAAAAGATTGTCGCAATTTGACAACTCAGCATCCTTCAATATTTTGAATGGTGCCCAAACAAGAAAACTGCCATCAGTGATTCAGATAGCAGATTTTGTAGAGAATTCAATTCTCTGTCGATTGAGCTTAGAACAAACTCAAAAACAACGAATGAAAGTGTCGGATTTTATTTGGGCCACCTGACATATAAGAATAAAAAAATATAAAGGAAATACGCGAAAGCTTCAATATCGATTACTGAAAAAAGGTTTGTAAGGAATTTGTCATACAAGAAAAGAAAGCTCATATTATGGAGCACCAGAAAATATATTTCGATTCCACTTTGGTGCATAGCATCGAGTTCAAAATAAATATTTTTTGGTTGCGGTTTAGATTTGAAAGTAATCGATATTGAAACTTTCCTGTTAAAGTAAGGAGTAAATTTCCTGTACGTTTGACTCAAATCGGAGCAAATTTCTGCCAAAATTTCTGAAAGCAGAAAAGGTGTATACTCCCGTCACACAAACGGTCGCTCCGTCAGTGTGTGTAAAACAGGCAGTAGCGATTTACATTTGACCAAAAGTTGTCGTGTGAGTGAAGTTTCCAATGTTAAGGTTCATAGAAACAGAAAAAAATAAACTGTGCTGAATTTATATACGCACATGTGTGAGTATATAAGGATAGATATCTATCCATCCTACTCTATTATGTTTATTAGTTTTTTTTTAGAAAATATATTACACACCTACTTCAGACCAATAACTACTTTCATTTTGTTATCTTAAGCAAACAACATGCATTTGTAGAAGAAAGTATGAGTGATTTCATTTTGTTATGAAATATATAAATCATGCAGACACGTATAACTTTTCCAAAGTAGGGGCTCTTCTAGACCAAATATTCTAATGAATTTTGGTAAAAGGCGCAAATCAAAAAGTTGCATCGTCACGGAGATGTTGATATTTTACGAAAAGGCCGAAAAACGTAGATTTCGCCACCTTGAAAATTTGCTAACTTTCAACTCTTGTAATTCAGTAACAACAGATTATTTAGCCTTGGAGATTTCCCCATAAATAGTAGACAGTGTGAGCTACAAAACCACGCAACCGCGAGCTCAAAACATGCTTTCGTTATTTTGTAACAGATGGCGCACTAAGAGCCCAAATCCAGAATTTTGCTGTAGCACCCATTTGAAACAAAGTCGACCGTAAGGCTTTTGAACCATATTATCAAATAGATTATATATCAAAGTATATTTGGTAAAAGTTTGACGGTCTCCGGTGCTTTCGTTTTCAATACAGACGCCTTGAAAGTTGCAGTTTTGCCAAAAAAATGACCATTTTGGGCGGTTTTGAGAAATGACTTTCTCCATGGAAACGGGGCAGTTTTGAAGCCCCCCAGTATACTGCTGAAGTACATCAAGTGTACAAGCCTCTAGAACTCGGTGCCCCCAATCGAGCCCTCGAAGCTATCTTAGCGAAACCCACAAATCGCAAGATGGACTATGACAGTATACTTGATGTACTTCACCAGTATACTAGGGGGCTTCAGAGCTGCTCCGTTTCCATGGAGAAAATCATTTCTCAAAACCGCCCAAAATGGTCATTTTTTGGCAAAATTGCAACTTTTAAGGCGTCTGTATTGAAAACGAAGGCACCGGAGTCCGTCAAACTTTGGACGGACCCTCACTCAAGATCCTCACCCAAAAATGAACAACCATTATCGTTGCTAATGGACTCTCTCTCTCACTGTTTAATGTGCAAAAGTAATATACAGCAACATATGATTTCACATATTTTGAAGATGAAGAATATGTTCTACAATGGGAAAAGGGTAAACTTCCCATTCAGAATGTGGCAGAATAGCAATAAAATTGGAGCAGAATCTGGCAATTCGTTGAGAGAATGTAAAAGTGGTGGATTAGTGAGGTGCATGCAAGTGGATTGCGACACAGGTAATTCTGCTGAATCCTGGATTTCGCACGGAACTGTGGAACTTGACACAACTCGTTTTACTTAGTCTTTTTCACCACACCGACTTGACACGACTCTTTAAATAAAAACGATTTAGCAGCTTGCACGTAGTGCTTATTGTGACCGCAAATACAAAACATTATGCTTTGTACTACTATCCTAGATTTAGCACAATTAATTAGCGTCAAACAGTTAGAATAATTAAATGAGAATATGCTCAATTCTTTATTGGCTAGTGACTACTGGATTGATCCCTGTGGCAGTTGTCGCTTGTTCCTCTTCGTGCACTTTGGGGCTAACGAGACGCTCTTTCCAAATGCTCCTTCGTTTTTTTAACGAAATATAGTAGGTTATAGGTGATCGACCATGCTCATTCCGAATATGACAGCCGTTTTACAATCGTGACTTATTTAGAAAACGTTTTGGGATTTTTTGAGAAAAAATAGCAAAAAATCATGGGGAAAAACGGCTACCGTATAAGGAATCAACATGGTCGATTTCCTATAAGCTACTTCGTTTCGTTAAAAAAACGAAGGGCATTTGGAAAGGTTCCCTCGTAAGTTTCGGATAAATATCTAGTGGGGGTCCATTTTGAAACATCTATATGTCTAGGGTGGGGGGTACCTTTTCTCTGCTGGAGAAAGAAATACAGGCTGCAAAAACGAAAACGACACGGAAGAAGATTGAATAAACATTTTACCATGGGTGTATTGTTCTCATTCTCCTAGTTCAAACAGTACCTGAACCAAAACATTTCACTGGATAGTTTTTGAGAAATTCGAAAAATACAGAGCAACATTAGAATGCTGAATTTTTTTAAAAACGTTGAGAGTAACAAAAGTAAATGCCGTACTAACTTTGAATAAAAACGTTTTCAAAAAGATCTAAATAGATGATCAGTCTCCATTTTGTTAGGACTTTCAAATGAGAGATATATGAGCTCAACTGGGGAATGCCGAGTACCGACTACGGTCGGCATTTTGGCGGATTCTCTCTTAAGTTTCAAAATCTTTTTCCCTCCACTCCATACTTGAACATTTCTTTTCAATAGTTAACCTCGTATTACAAGGTTCTACGCTTTAAAAGCGTAGAATTCTTCAGAAAGTGAGATGTCTCCAAACTTCTCATAGTGTTCCATTCAAAAGTTTGATAAATGATACTTTTGTGATATCATGTCTCTGGTTCAAATCTCGATTCTGTCCAATCTGATTTCATGATGAACGCCCTTCAATATTATCCTGTCGAGCTTCTATCGAGAAAATTGTATACTCAATCGACTTTTTCTTGTCGAATGATACGGCTCATTTTATCCTTTGATAATACCCTCGACAAGGAAAACTGGTGATAACGTAACGTTGCATCTTGAAAGTCTTAAAATAGACTTACAAACTGAATATAATATCACCCGCGAAGAATCGTTTCGAGTATGTCGTATGTCATGACAATTTATATGAGCGCAAAATTTTTTCATGTGCTTAACAGAAGTCGCATATACCCAATCCGAAACTAAATATTTTCTTCCGCATTTTCTTTCCAAAAAATAGTTTTCATAAATGTTCAATCGAGATTTAGTTTGCTGAATGTAAGAAAAATAACAAGAACTATATTGTTAAGAAAAAGCGGCATCACGGTTTGTTTAATTATTACTCAATCATATGGGTATTAGTAATCAATGCGGACACCCATCTAGATATCCACGGACATCAAGCAATGTATCTTTTAATTTTTGAAAATTTTTTTTCCTCCTGAAAAATAGAGAATACATGACGGATGTAAGAAAAATCCTGCAAGTTCAAAAAACCTTTAATATCTCGGCTCTAGATTATTCGGCAGTCTTCAAACAACATTTTTTGGATTAAACGTTAAAAACTGAATATAATAATGGTGTTTGATCAGTTTCAAAGGTAAAGCCTGTTCCAAGCAAACCCTCTAACGTGGGAACACGGGATTTTGTAAGCATATCTAGTCTTTTGTGTTCGGGGCTGAAGTCGTCAATGTCTTGTTCACACATTAGAGGGTGTGCTTGGGACAGGCTTGTAACTTTGAAATTGGTCAAACGCCATTTTTATGTTCAGTTTTAACGTTGAATCGGAAAAATGTCGTTTGAAGACATTAAAATAGTCTAGAGCTGAGATATTAAAGGTTTTCCGAATTGCAGGATTTTTTTACATCCATCATGTATTTTCTATTTTGCCAAATAAAAACAACTTTTTCAAAAATTAAAAAGTTTTCGTAATATCTATGGGTGTCCACATTTCTTTTTAATACCTCCACAACTACGCCTAGCAACGGCAATGCATCTCACGAGGAACGTCATTCCTAACGTATATTTGAAATATATTTCTTAATATAACATACAGCCTATTATTCTTCCAAGTCCTATTAACTGTTCGCCGCACTTGTTCATATAAGTCGATATAGAGACACTCAGCTTCTTTATTCCTGTATCTACAACTATAGCAAAAAATTCAACTAAATCTGTTGAATTAAAAGCAGCGTACTTCTTCGTTCTGTGAACAGTTTTTCTCTCTCTTTTGCACATAAAACAGTGAGAGAGAGAGTCCATTAGCAACGAAGATCCATTCGTCCGGCTGTTTCGCTTCTCACTTTTTCCCAGCTTTATAGTTTGTTCTTTTAAAT